GAAGTTAGCGTTCAGGAGTAGAGGCACTTTGACGAGGGTGGAGAGGACAAGGCGTACTTTGGAGGGGAAGAGGCGCTGTACTGGGGTTGCTTTCTGAATTGGGGACGACGTCGTTGTACGTGTGGATTGTCATGAACACGTACATGAAGAAATCACATCGTCACCCAATTGACCGCCTTTTCTCGTCCTTCCCCGTTCTTTCCGGTTCTGCCTTGGCTGGTACCGGAAGTGCCAACTGGGCAAGACGTCCGCGTGCGCTTAAGCGGAATGAGGATGAAGACGATGGGTGTACAGTTTACGAAGTGTTCCACGCCTTTTGAAGGGCATGGCGTTGGATACTGTCATGTACTTTTGTGGGTCGACCACTGCGCTTTTACTGGCGACGAGGAAGCCGATGCATCGTTCCCATGGTCCTCAGGCGTTGCAATGCATCACTGAGCATTGCGGAAAGTACAATTACTATCAAAACAGGTCAAAAGAAGGGACAAGAGTTTTGGGCAAATCTATGGAATAGGACTCGAGTTCTGCCTTTGGTGGTCGGTGAGCGATTGGATGATCCCAAAGTCGTCCTCACGAAGGTTCGGCGGAGGGGTAACCGACATTGCCGTCGTGGCTAACGCCAGAGGAAGAGGCGACAATATTGGACGGCCTGCCTGAACCATACGCGTAGTCATGGTACTTAATATTAGCACTTTGCGTATGGAGGGGGTCTTGTGGCGTAGATGGTCTTGAAGCTTCCTGTGAGGGACGCCACCCGGTAGGAAAGCTGCTGCCAGTGGCAGTACTGTGCCTGGTGGCGTCATGTGCCGTGTCTGGGCCGGAGTCATATGACTGTGTAGTAGGTGACGCAGTCGACCCCCGGGGCCAGTGTGCGGAAGCAAATACTACGCCACTCCTGCTGGTTGCCGTACTGGCCCGGTTCGGCGTCGAGGGTGGCCGTGGTGCAAAGGGGCCGACCTGGGTAGACGTCGAATCGCGATTAGATTCGGTATCACTTCCTTGGATCCATCTCTGCGCTTGGATTTTCTCTTTGGCACTATCGGCTACTTCCCCTGTATAACCTTTTCTAACACCTATGAGTTGCCTCTTCTGATCTCCCCTACGATCCCCATTGAATTGGTCATGTTGGGAGTCATGAGCCAGATCCGCGTCTTTCCCCTGTTTAGCTTCGTGGGTTTGCATGTGCTTATCGCCTCTCCTCCAATCTGATTGTCCGTTTGTGGGCCTTAGTTTTATCTGCTTCCCTTTGGGTGTCATCGGCTTCTCTTGCTTCCCCTTCTGTGCGGGTGAGATCGCCTCCTCTTCGGGGTTTATCGCTGGTTTGTTGGTCGGCGTAATATTACTCCACAGATCCCTGGCATTCTTCTTGAACGGTGTCATCCACCCGGGTTTTTTTTGGTGAGGCCGCGGTCGTTTATACCAGCCACGCCTTTTAGAACCGGGTCTTCCTCGGCTTTCTTCCTTTGAGGGAAAGCTTCCAGGGAAGGGTGGGGTAACATGAGCTGTCCCAATTGTTTGAGTGTCGGCAACCTTCTTTTCTTGGGCTCCGGCTGAGTTGCAGGCGGGTGGCTCTCTGGCGTCGTCGGCTTCGTCCTCGAGAAAACGTTCCAGTTCCACCCTCCATTCTTGGGCGCCGGCTGAGTAAGAGCTTGCTTTGGCTGAGTGGTATGCGGGTGGGGAGCGCCGTGCGCCGAACGCGGGTCGGACGCCAGCTGAGTTGTAGCCCCGTGCGTGCTCCCAGCCTTAGAGTCGGAATTGCCACCCCCGCGTGCATTTCTGCGCAAAGCGCTCGCGAGCAACCTCCTCGCTCGGCCTGGCGGCGGCGGGTTCCTGCTGTGGTGCGTGGGAAAACCACCTACACCGTTGTCCGACGCCAGCTGAGTTGTAGCCCCGTGCGTGCTCCCAGCCTTAGAGTCGGAATTGCCACCCCCGCGTGCTTTTCCGCGGAAAGAGTTCGGGATCAAGCTCCTCCATCTTGTCTTGGGCGGCGGCGGCGGCGGGTTCCTGCTGTTGTGCGTGAGAAAATCACGTACACCGTCCCCCGTGCGTGCTTCCAATACGTCGCTGTCGGATTCGTCTCGATCGAGGATGTCGGTGGATGGGTTGTCAAGCGCCCGAGGACTGGCCGCCGACCTGCTCAAGTCGCGGCTGTACAATGCCGGCTGAGCACCCCTGGCCGCCACGTAGTTGATGGGCGCCGCGCGCGTCAGAGTCGGGATGCTCGTGGTAGCGAGCAGGAAGAGAAAGAAGAGTGTGTGGTGTCGCATGATGGATTGACAGATGACTAGAGTTGATAGTAATTGTAAGATGGGTTGCTGACCAGCAGCAAAGTGAGAGAACAAGGTCGTGCTAGTT